ACAATAATCATCATATATAGGAGGCATGATTTCATCATAATAAATTTGCTCATCAAAACTTGGGGGACAAAAAATATCATCTTCATCAAACATAGCTTCCCCAAGCTTATGGCTTTGCATATCATTAGCATCATGGATATTCAAGGAATTCATACTAACAACATTTCAATCATGCTCATCATTCAAATATTTAGTGCCAAACATTTTATAGATTTCTTCTTCTAGCACTTGAGCACAATTATCCTTTCCATCATACTCACGAAAGATATTAAAAAGATGAAGCGTATGAGGCAAACTTAATTCCATTTTTTGTAATTTTCTTTTATAAACTAAACTAGTGATAAAACAAGAAACTAAAAGACTCGATTGCAAGATCTAAAGATATACCTTCGAGCGCTAACCTCCCCGGCAACGGCGCCAGAAAAGAGCTTGATGTCTACTACACAACCTTCTTCTTTGTAGACATTGTTGGGCCTCCAAGTGCAGAGGTTTGTAGGACAGTAGCAAATTTCCCTCAAGTGGATGACCTAAGATTTATCAATATGTGGGAGGCGTAGGATGAAGATGGTCTCTCTCAAGCAACCCTGCAACCAAATAACAAAGAGTCTCTTGTGTCCCCAACACACCCAATACAATGGTAAATTGTATAGGTGCACTAGTTCGGCAAAGAGATGGTGAAACAAGTGGTATATAGATAGTAGATAAAGGTATTTGTAATCTGAAATAATAAAAATAGCAAGGTAGCAAGTGATAAAAGTGAGCGTAAATAGTATTGCAATGTGTGGAAATAAGGCCTAGGGTTCATACTTTCACTAGTGCAAGTCCTCTCAACAATAATAACATAACTGGATCACATAACTATCCCTCAACATGCAACAAAGAGTCACTCCAAAGTCACAAATAGCGGAGAACGAACGAAGAGATTATGGTAGGGTACGAAACCACCTCAAAGTTATTCTTTCCAATAAATCCGTTGGGCTATTCCTATAAGTGCCACAAACAGCCCTAGAGTTCGTACTAGAATAACACCTGAAGACACAAATCAACCAAAACCCTAATGTCACCTAGATACTCCAATGTCACCTCAAGTATCCGTGAGTATGATTATACGATATGCATCACACAATCTCAGATTCATCTATTCAACCAACACAAAGGACCTCAAAGAGTGCCCCAAAGTTTCTACCGGAGAATCACGACGAAAACGTGTGCCAACCCCTATGCATAGGTTCATCGGTGGAACCCGCAAGTTGATCACCAAAACATACATCAAGTGAATCACGTGGTATCTCTTTGTCACCACAGATACGCACGGCAAGACATACATCAAGTGTTCTCAAATCTTTAAAAACTCAATCCGATAAGATTACTTCAAGGGGAAAACTCAATCCATTACAAGAGAGTAGAGGGGGGAAGAAACATCATAGGATCCAAATATAATAGCAAAGCTCGCGATACATCAAGATCGTATCATCTCAAGAACACGAGAGAGAGAGAGAGAGAGATCAAACACATAGCTACCGGTACATACCCTCAGCCCCGAGGGAGAACTACTCCCTCCTCGTCATGGAGAGCGCCGGGATGATGAAGATGGCCACCGGAGAAGGATTCCCCCTCCGACAGGGTGCCGGAACGGGTCTAGATTGGTTTTCGGTGGCTACAGAGGCTTCTGGCGGCGGAACTCCCGATCTAATCTCTGTTCTGGAAGTTTTAGGATACGTAGGTATATATGGGTGCAGGAAGTACGTCGGTGGAGCTTCGGGGGGCCCACAAGGCAAGGGGCGCGCCCTAGGGGGGTGGGCGTGCCCCCACCCTCGTGGGCACCTCCCTTCTCTCCTAACGTGGGGTCCAAGTCCATCCGATAGCTTTCCTTCCAAAAATAACTTCTCCAGTTGATTTCGTTCCGTTTCGACTCCGTTTGATATTCCTTTTCTTAACACTGGAATAGGCAAAAAAAACAGCAAATCTGGGCTGGGCCTCCGGTTAATAGGTTAGTCCCAAAAATAATATAAAAGTGGATAATAAAGCCCAATATTGCCGAAAATAGTAGATAACATAGCATGGAGCAATCAAAAATTATAGATACGTTGGAGACGTATCATCCCTATTCCTCCATTAGTTCTCGTCCTCTCTAGTTGGGCATGTAGCTTGTACACACTCTTGATGGAATGCACCCCCTTGGGATCATATTGCCTGGCGATGAAGTCTTGCACCCCCTCCCGCAACGGTATCCGTAGGATATGATTGATGTTGTCGGCCCAAAAATTGTCTCTCACTAGCTACTCATCCCAGTTCCCGGTAGTTGGGTCGATAAGGTCACTGACCAGTTCCAACTGACTAGAGCCTCTCGGTGTAATGACGCCCCGTGACCAAGGTCGAGGGATCCAAGGATCAGCCCATATTTTCACTCTTGTACCATCTCCAATCCTCCAAATATATCCTTCCTTGAAGAGTTGTAATCCATGCAGCAAGCTACGCCATGAGTAAGAGATACCATCTCTAGGTTGTATATCCATGATGTGACCAGAAGGGTAATATCTTGCTTTCAACAGCTTTGCACAGAGCGACTCCGGATTCTGGATGAGCCTCCAAATCTTCCTAGACAGCAGCGCAACATTAAAACCGTGCATGTCCCGGAAGCCTAAACCTCCCTGGGCCTTTGGCATCGTCAGTTTTTGCCACCCAATCCAATGGGTGGTATGCTCCTTGTCCTGTTGGCTCCACCAGTAGTTCCCGATGAGCGAGCTGAGTTCCTCACAGAAGGAATTTGTAAGGTAGAAGCATGACATCACAAACGTAGGGATAGCTTGAGCAACTATCGTGACGAGGGCTTCTTTTCCCGACTTGGCAATCAACTTTTCCTTCCACCCGTATACTCTTCCTGCCATTGCCCCTTTGACAAAAGCAAAGGCTTTCTTCCTTGATTTCCCCACATGGATTGGCAACCCGAGATATTTCTCGTTCCATGATTCACTATGAATTTGTAGTGCATCCTTGACTACCACTTTCTTAGCAGCTTTTGTGTTCGGGCTGAACATGATGGCGGACTTCTCAATATTGATGCACTGGCCGGAACAATCCTCGTAAAGGTCAAGAATTTCACGCAGTGTTTGAGCTTCTTCCTGTCGGGCTTTAAGCAGCAACATTGAATCATCCGCGAACAGCAGGTGCGAGACGAGAGGGGCGCGCAGACAGATTTTAATGCCGCTGATTCTGCCGGCTGCTTCCGCGTCATGCAGTAGGGCGGACAAACCTTCGACGCAGATGACGAATAAGTACGACGATGATGGATCCCCCTATCGTAGCCCACGAGAGGGAGTGAACTGATCGGTAAGCCCCCCATTCAGTTTAATCTGATATCGCACCATGGTGATGCAGTGCATGACCAAATCAATCCATCTGGCACCAAAGCCGAGTTTAATGAGCATGGCTCGCAGGAAATCCCATTCAACTCGATCGTAAGCTTTAATCATGTCCGCCTTCACTGCTGCTACCCCTTCAGCCCCTTTTTTCTTGTTCAGCAAGAAATGAGACATTTCATATGCTATGAGGACGTTGTCCGTGATCAGCCGACCGGGGACGAATGCACTTTGGTTGTCAGAAATTATGTCCGGGAGGATTAGCTTGAGGCGGTTTGCGATCACCTTTGACACCAGTTTGTATATTACGTTGCACAAGCTGATCGGTCGTAGGTCTTTGATTCTGGTAGGGCTCTTCCCTTTCGGAATTAGGACTAGGACGGTGTCGTTCCACCCTTCCGGCATCGGGCCCCCATTGAGGACAGAAAGCATCTCCTCCACAACCTTATCGCCCATGAAATGCCAATGTTTTTTGTAGACGATCGATGGCATGCCGTCCGGGCCGGGCGCTTTCAAGTCACCGATATGATCAAGGGCCGCCTTCACCTCCTCTCGTGTCACCTCCGCTTCCAAGATGGCCCTCATTGCACTGGTCACACGGGGTTGAACTTTATTGATAAGCTCGGCCATGCGGTTGCATCCAGTGGAGGAGAATAGATCCTGAAGAAAAGAACATACATAATTATTTAGTTCCCCCCCTTCCTTCACCTCCGCCCCGTCCTCCTTCCTCAGCATTTTCACCCTGTTCGCCTTTCTTCTCGCCGACGCTATAGCCATGAAATAGCGTGTGCATTTGTTGCCATCCTTGAGCCACGAGACGTGTGATCGCTGCTTTGCCTTGATATTTTTCTTTACCTCCAGCTCCTCAACTACACACCTCCACCTAGCTTCCTCACGTATTTTCTCCTCTGACACCGGAGCACACATACATCCTTCCAGAGCCTTACGGGCCTTCTCTAGTCGTTCCTCTACCTCGCCAGCCACCTCCTTGCTCCACCTCGTCATGCGTCCTGCCACACAGCGTAGGGCAGTAGCCACATCCCCCCTCCCCTCCAAACATCCTTCCTCCCAGCCCCCCTGCACCTCAACGCTGCAACCATCCTCCTGTAGCCACCATGCCTCGAAACGGAAGCCCCGATCACCCCCCTTCATTCTCCTATTTTCTCCTTTCGTGCACACAATCACTGGTCGGTGGTTTGAGTGTCGTGGGGCTCCATTAAGGACAGTAAACTCCGGGAACCATTCACACCATTTGGAATTTGCCGTGGCGCGGTCCAAAATCGTGTATTTCCTTTAGTAAGGGCTGTCAAATACTCTCAAATGAATGGAGGGTGCTAATCAAAGGGTTAAGAATGTCCCTCCGAATTATAGCCCACTTCGTGGGTCATGGACTGCTACTTCACGTGGTGTAGTCTGATGAAAGCAATTTGCTACAGTGCTGGATTATCTTTCGAGCAATAAACAAATAAGGAAATGAGGCGACAGCGGTCGGAGCGGGTCCGCTGCACCTGCACGTGCCTGCTGCCGCTACCGCCAAGCGCTTTGTAGAAGACACACCGAAAGCCATCACATGCCGAGCGAATCCATCATTCCCTCGGCCTGTGACTCCATTCAGATCGATCCCAGTCCACAGAGACACCAATGGCGTCCGTGAAGCTCGCCGCCGCGCTCGCTCTTGTCGCCGTGTGCGCCGCGCTCGCGGCGACGCCGGCCACGGCGTACCCGCCGCCCGAGAGCTGCGCGACGCAGGGCAGCTACTTCATCAACTGCCTTCGCCGCGGGTTCGGCGAGAGGTGCTGCGCCATGGTGGAGAACCCCAGGTGCTTCTGCCAGGTGGAGCGGGAGGCCGAGATCCGGTGCGTGCCCGGGCGGAGCTGCCCGAGCCGTGGTGGCATTGCCAAGGTCGTCAAGATCGCCGAGATGCACCTCTCCTGCATGAGGAACCTCAAGTGCAAGCGTGCCTAAGTTTCGCTGCTTGCTTCATTTTTGTATGTTTTCTCTGCTTTCTCGCGATGTGCTGGTCGTGTTGACGTGACTATGTGTGGTTTGTTTTGTTTGGGTCGGCGGTAGCTGTGGTACTCTTTGTCTTTGGATGCTCTTCATCCGCTCCATCTTAGGAAAAGGTGGTATGATTGTATCAAGTGTGTTGTTCTAGGTGATGAATCTGTGTTAGATTGTTGTGGGTCAGTTTGTCGTTCACAGTATCTTCTTCAAAATATGTCTTTTTTTTGTATGAATTGTGTGCGCAGTTAACTGATCTGTACTATGAGTGTCCGATCTGTGATTTAAATCACGCATGTAACTGATATGTACTATGAGTGTCATTCTGTATGCTTATGAGTATCATTCCATATACTTGTACACTTCTTGCCCCCCTTGGGTGAGACAGCAAAAGAGATCTATACTGTGAGCATCATCCTATATACTTACGAGTAGCATTCCATATACTTATACACTTCATGCCCCCCATTAGGAAGAAATCATACCATGAGCATCATTCTATATACTTAGAGCATCTTTAGCAGTCTCCTAAACCATATATTTTCATAAAACATATCCTATATACTTAAAAGAGTCAGCCCCACTAACTTATTTATCTCGACATTCAAGTATGTCACATCTTCATATAATTATGGATAAGATAAAACCCACCTCAACATGCAACATGCAACGGTGCACTGAAAAAGATTCACCACCACATGCAACTGTGCATTGAAAAAGATTCACCACCACGTGCAACTATACATGAGAAAATATTTTTCATTCTATTATTCTACTTATATTCCAACAAATATTTTACAACTATATACATAATCAAATATAATAAGCTTTATGTATTTTTCATTTTGATTCACATGTTATTAATGTAAATATTTACATTCCACACAATAAAATCTCATCGAAATATATTATAAGCGGTTCTCACAGCAATGCGCAGGCTTAGTTTGAGGGATTAAGGACTATTTAGGAGATTATTACTCAAACCGTCTTTCACAAAATTATAAGGAAAACTCGGCTAAGGAAAACTCGCCTAAAACGCAGTCGTTCCGCCTACTTTGACTCCAACCACAACAAGTCGCAGCCTCGCCGGAACCGAAATTGGTATCGCTGGGGAAGACGAAATTAGCATCGCTGTGGAAGAGCGCCTACACGTCGTGGACGTCGTCCAGGGTGAGCTCCACCTTGCGGTGCATGGCTTGGGGCTCAGGTGCATGGCTTACCGATCTCATGTGTGTGTGGCCATTGACTCGAGGTCCATGACGCCATTGAGGTTGTGGAGGACGGCCCATCGCTCATAGGCTGGCTCGAGGTCGCTTGTACAAACTGAAATTTGGTCGACCGAGGTGTCATATCTTGTGGGCGTGTTGTAACGGTTTTCAGCCGGATTTCTGCAAATTAACAGGGCAACTCTTTTCTACTTTTTTTAATGAACCGGAGTTTTAAGGGAAACAACTTCGGAAGAAAAATTATGCTGCTCTGACTGTTGAGAGGTAAATGTTTCACTGAATTTTGCTGCTACTAGTGAATGTTGTGTTGAATATAACACATTTGCGATTTTCAAACGAGCTTATGTAAAAACACACCCTGCGAACATCTCGAGGCGCTTGGCCTTCCTCACTGGCGCAGCCTGGGTGCTCGATAAATTGAATGAACAAATGTCAATTTTAAGGGATTAAGTTCTACAAGATCTGCTAGATAAGCAAACATCATTTCCCTAAATATTTTTTTAGGGAAATGGGACAGGGATAATATTTTGCACTTTTAGGATATGTGATCTACTACAGATACTCTTATAGTACATTTCAGAGAACGGAAACCAAATCGAGTCCTTGTAGCAAGGATGACAATGGCCACTGAGGACTACATGTGGCGCTTAAGCCTGACGGGAAGGCAAGAAAAGGGATGGACACAATGAAGCGATTGATGTGGGTGAAATTGGCATTATCACTAGGGGCGTCTGTGGAGACGAAGAGCGGGCAATTGGGGTAGGTGAGGCATCGCTTGATCGATAAACATAGGAGGGTGAGGACGAATGAACGCAAGTTGAGAGGAGATCATGCAGGGGTGGACGGAGTTGACATACGGAGGGGAGCGGGGACATCCATGACAGTGACAGGGCTAATGCGGGCGTCGCAACGAGGGCAAACCATAAGATGCTCGGGAGGGTGAAAGCTATTGGAGTGCGGTGGTGTAGATCGATAGAGATGGGGAGGAGAAGGGGAAGCATGGTGCTAAGATAAAGTAAGAGAGTGAGGTGGAAC